TTTTTTTTTGCCAAGCACGTTAGGTGTTTGATAAAATGCCCAGCCGAAAAAAACAAAAATGACGATCATTCAGTAGCTACTATACCTGCTGAGAGAAAGCAAAAGCCAGAGATTTTTCATGTGTCAATGCTGCTTCATTTCTTGCTTTCAAGATTGCTTCCAGCTCTTCGAGTGTACGCGGACAGTTCCTCCAATCATCGGTCATTGAGCTTCCATCTCTCGACTGTGTTACAACACAAACACACCATCATTAATTAAACATAGTTTCTTCTTTACTCAAAAAAAACAAGAAAGGAAAAAAAAAAAACTAACCCTTGATTTTCTGTCTCTGATGTCTTTAAGGTACTTGGATTCCCATAAGTTTGTGGTTTCTGCAAACATGGACTTTCTTCCTCGGCCGGAATCTTCGTGCGACAGCCTGGCACGTTGCTCGCGCATCTTCGCCTGCACTCGGAGCAAAGTCTGCATACATTTCATGGTCATAGTTGCTTGCTTTCTAACATTCTGCCCTCTTATTAGTGCCTGGAGTTTCACTATACCCTTGAGCGCAATCAGAGCTCTTCTTGCCTGCAATTACCTCCAAATTAAATAATCTATTAGAGATATTAATATTAAATGATACATTCCACTAACAGCTTAAACTTTTGGTTGAGATAGTCATTCGACATGGTATACACCCTGATAAGGTGCTACGGTTTTTGGTTTCAGGTGTATATTGAAAATTTTACTTACCAGATAGCCTCTGAAAGCTGTCTGAATGACTCTGGCTGCACAGTGCTGCCTGAATGAGGAGGGCTGCTGCGTCAGCCGGAATATCTCCACCGCCGCCTTCGCAGTCGCCACGGCGGCTTCCGCCGCAGCGGCGGTGGCGGCAGCCACCGCAATGGCGTGCATGTGCTCGGCCGGTGGGGGAGGAGTCCTCGGCGCAATGCCGTCGCTTTGCTCTTTTGCTGCTTCACCACTCAGCTGAGCATTGTTGTTGTTGTTGGTTGAGTGCTTCTTGAACAGCCATCTCCTCTTCTCAGTCTTCTGCACCAACCCAAAAAACACAAATAAAAATTAAAACCCACACACTTATACATACACATGTATATATACATGTATGTATGTATGTATATATATATATAACCTTTTCATCATCATCTTCTTGGGGATGGTCAACTTTTCGTCTGGATATCTTCTTATCAGAGTCTTTAGTGGGGAGACCTGAAAGCTCTCTTGACTGCAGTTAACCAAGAAGTGCCACCCTTCTTTCCCATATTGAGGTTTTGATGAAAACTGAGAAAAAGCTTTGCTGCATATGTGTATGTATAGTATATATATATAATTGGGCAAGAATGCATATATAGAAGAATAGGGTGGTGGTGGGGGGTGGGGGGGGTGAAAGAAACAGTGGGAAAAGAGTGATCTTATTTTTCTATTGGTTGCTTATCTGTGCAGCAGCATCTAAGAGTATACAATTGCTTCGATTATATATCTGGTACAAGATGTAGGTATATTGTAGTGGCATGGGAATTTTTTTTTTTTTTTTTAAAAGGGAAAAAAACTAATAGTGGGTGTTGTCAGAAATTGCCATCAAACTTTGCACATAAATATATGCATAGGAGATAAAGTTTATTTTAGAGAGAGAAAGAAGAGAGAGAGAGAGAGAGAGAGAGAGAGAGAGAGAGAGAGAGAGAGGTGTTGATGTGTTATTGAGCATAAGATTCCAAGTAACGGGTTAAAAATAGTTTTATGGGGTGTGCGAAATTGTGATTGATTGAATGTGGCAATTATGTTTTTCATAAATAATTGCTGAGTCAGTAGTACTGAGTGCGATCACGTGATATGTCATACAAATGTTGATGCGCGCCCTGGAAATGGAGGGAAACTGTTTATCAGATATTTAAGTTTCAGTAAATTTCATGATTGGCCCTCATGAATAATGAATATGTTCCTATCCTAGTTGTAAATTCATTATTTAATTAATTAATTGGAATTTTTTGGAATATAACTTTTTTTTGTGAATATTCTTGTATATATTGTTTATTCATCTTAACTTATCCATGATGAAAAGGGTTGTTAGTGCAAGTCATCCTACTCACCTTCAGATCTATGACACTAGGTAATACGTCACTACCGGTTGAGGTTCTCTATATTATGGATCTTTGAACCGGTGCTTAACCAGCGGGCAACGGTCGGGTTTCGTTTATATTTGTTTTTAGGGTAAATTACAAACACTCCCCCGAGTTATGGTCAATTTACAAAAAAAAATTCATCTTGTGTGGATAATTACATCTACCCCTTCAACTATGATTTTTTTCTTACACCTCCACCCTTATGATGTCAAATTAAACATAATCATCTAGATTTCGTGGAATATGCTCTAGTTTGCACTCGTTTTGTGTAAAAATACATTTTCTGATGCACCACAATCTGATATATACAAGCCAAATAATACATGTTATGATCATCTTGCTTCAAAATGTAGAGTTCGAATGTGATAAAACGGGTGTAAAAGTGATAACATTGCATAAAATCTCGAAGATTCCACTAAATTTGAGAAGTTGAGGGGTGGTTGTAATTATCAAAACAATAGGGGGGTTTTCGTAATTTGACCATACCTCAGGGGTGGTTGTAATTTACCCTTGTTTTTATGGTGGGTCTGTGAACCATCAAGATGGAACCTGTGTTTCAAGGGCCGGTTAAGGATGGAGATCATTCGACCTGAAACTGGTGATTTTGACCCGAAACTAGACAGTGATCATGTCTATGTGTAAATATAGAAGGAAATTAGGGGTTATAAAGGTTTTTAAGAATACAATTGTATTTGAGTCGAAGTCGAAATTTCGATCTCAAGCAAAATTGTCCAAGAAAAGTCCGTGTTTAGACTCTCAAAAAATTCGCGTTTTTCATTTTATGAAAGTTTTATAAAATTAATATTGATTCATAAAATTGATTCCTTGCACCAAAATGCGAAATCCCTAGCTTCCAGAGCCCCATCCTTGGTCTGACAAGTATTTGACGGAGTAATGTAAATCATAGTGACTCAACGTCCTAAAAACTGATTCCTAACTAAATGGGTGAAGGCAAGTGATGAAGGGTAATTGGTCTTTTGGTCTTTTGACAATGATTTATACCGGTGTGCAAGGACATAAAAGCAAAACAAAGAAAAATGGAAAAAATAAGGAAGCCTCGGATGAAGGACGAGAAAGCGAGACCAATTTGAAGCAAAATGACGAAACGATCAATAAACATGCACTAGCCTCGCTCCGCTCGAATTTCAGCGATTATTGTTTTCTGCGATATCCTTAATGGCAAGTGCACTACACACTTACACCCCAGATTGCTTTTCCTTTTCTATTTTTTTTTTATTTTTGTATTTTACAAATATTATGTGATATTTTATATGACGTAAGACGATAATTTTTTTATAATTTTTTACTTCAAATATGTTATTGTACGAGCAGTTACGACAAATATGATATTTATTGAAAAGGGTTTGAGTTATTTCAGTACCTTCAAAACATACGAGTTTGATTCTCTTTTCGACATGTTTTTTGTTGAACTCGGCATACTTAACATGCTCGGTGCGATTTACCTTGGTTGTGTATGTTGCAGGTTATTGCACACAAAAAAAAACATAATCTACCAAGTATACAATTGTGGGTACAAGTTCCAACAAAAACTATATGATTTCATGCTAATGAGATAAGCAAATGAAGGCTTTAGTAAAACTTCGTTGGGACTGGGGTGGTAAACGAGCTGAGCCGCTAGTGACCTTGATGAGCTGGCTTGAAAAAAACTCAAACTTGAACTTGAGTTTTTCGAGCTCGAACTCGAGCTTGTTTTTAGTTGTTCGTGAATTCACGAGCCGGTTCGCGAGCCTTATTTTTATTTTTATTTTTGTTTTGTTTCTATATATTATGTTATTTAAACAATGTATAATGATATAAAATATCATAGATAGAAATAATATAAAAAGAGCATAAGTATTAAAAATATATATAACTACAGTTTATTATTTTATTTTGAATTTGTTTTATTATAATGTAAATATTTTTTAATAATAAAATTTAATAATTAAAAAAAAATCAAAATGAGCTTGGGCTCGAGTTCGAGCTCGAGCTCGAGCCAAAAAAACATAAATTGACGAGCTCGACAAAATAAACTCGAGCTCGAGCTAGCCAAAATTGGGGAGTTCGGCTTGTTCACACCCCTAGTTGTGACTTCCATATTTATTCCAATTCGATCTTAAATCTACACTCTCGTATAATAACTTGCAAACCATACAAATGACGCAAACCACACTAGGCTAATTATGTGTCACAAGCTCGACATATCTATTGTTGACAAAAGAAATCAATTGATACAAACTCACTTGCTATAACCGCAAGGGAGTATCCATCTATTTTGACATGGGGGTTGATGTTTATATTTCCACGTGATAACGGTACAGATTCCACAAGTGATTACCCCTAGAAAAATAAATGAAAAAATTGGAGATGATTATTCTCCTATAATTTAAAAATAATAAATAATTGATAATAATTAAAAATAGTGGTCAGTTTCGAAGACCGTCAAATTTATAATAATAATTAGTGAGTGCAGCAGAGAGCAGAGGAATCCCATTGTTGTTTTCTGGGTAAGTGTAACAAGGACGTGTGAGAGTGGTGCTACTTTTTAAAAATGGACTGGTCAAACTTGTTTGCTTCTATAATTTTAGTTTCCCAAACTTTATATAAATTAACTTATTTAGATAGGCCAACGTCTTCTTGGTTAAACTTCTTTTAAAATAAAATAAAATAAAATAAAATAAAATGAAATAAAAATCAGACTGTACCTCCAATCAATATCTACTTATCTTTCTTATTTATATAGATTGGTGAAAATAATATAGACATTGGACCAAGTGTTAACTGGATGAGTACATATACATTCATTCATGTATTACTCCATCCGTCCCAATTTAAATGACGTTTTGGGTTGTTTCACACATATTAAGAAAATCAATAAATGCGTATCGATAATAGTAAAAAGCATAGGAAAATACTAATATATCCTTGATATTAATTGTTTTACAGCTAACTAATTAGGAGTTATAAAGGGTAAAATTGAAAATAGTGCAATTAATGATGCATTGAAAATCTAAAGTGACAAATAATTTGGGACAAGAAAACTCTCTAAAAAGACATATAATATGGGACAGAGGGAGTATAATTTATCCATGTGTGAAGCTGTACAAGCATTCGATTTTTTCAAAACTTATTTTTTCCAAAATATTTTTTGCCACGGTGAAAAAAACACTAAATTATTGAGATTGACAGTATAATTAACTATATTACTGCTTAACACAATAAAATTGGCACAATAAAATTACTATGTTATATAATAATTATTGTGTAATACAATAATATAATTATGTTGATCGGTCAACAAATGTAAACAAAATAAAAAGCTAAAAAAAAAATATTGTCGCAGTTGACAGTACTATTACTGAAATTATCAATGGAATTTGTAGATATAAAACGTTTCCAATAATAAGAGATACTAATCTTCTTTTACTTCTTTCATTTTGGAGTCTGGTGCATTTTTTTTTCATATAGTTACTTAAGGATTAACATTTGCAATATTAAATTTCATTTATTATACGAAACAAATTATGATTTTCATCTTATTTTGAGACTATCGCTTTTGTTTTATTAGCACCTTGCTTGATGTTCTAGATTTTGGCTGTGGAGTTCTTTTTTTTTTTTTTTTTTCTCGAACACATTCGGCTACAAAGTTTTGAAGTATGTGATTCATATATTGCTTGATATAAACCAGATTTAAATCCGAAACTCGAAAAAATACATTAGCCGAGCTTGAGCATATAGTAATGAGATCTGATGGTATGTGAGCTTGATCCTCGAGACTCGATGGTATGTGAGTTTGAGTCAACCCAAACTCGGCTCAGATGGCCCGAATACCAACCCTACTTAGAATTAGATCTAAAAATTATTCAAATTAGCATAAGCTTTTCATCTAACTTTCCAACGTGACATCTTGTAAAAAGACTCCAACTTACAAGATCTAAAAGACAAAGGCATCTTTTGGCTTTCCTGAGAATATAATTTGGCTTTCCTGAGAATATAATTTAGGAAAAAGCTTTAAAAGATTGTATAGTTTATACAACATGGCAAAATATTGCAAACAAGAGAAACGAACATTATATAAATAAAGGATTTATTAGGATAACCCCCTTGTTGAGATTTTCTAATGAGGTAGATCTATTTGATTTATCCCTTTTTGAGATACACCCAATTATGCCAACTTGGCACAATATATTATTTAATTTCCTTTTAATACCCCTATTTTATTTTTGAACGGCATTTATTTCCTTAACGACGTGATATGAGATTGCTGATACGTTGCCTAAAATCACGGAGTAAAATTACGTTAGTATATTGGTGGTTTCATCAGTTTCGTCATTATCAAATCGTGTACAATCCGGCTACGAAGAAATTTTCACCGGCGTGGTAGTATTTTCGGATCTGAGCGTTTCATCGTTTTCCGTCGTTACGTGAGTATGAACAGTTTTTGTTCGTTTTTTTTTTTCGTTGTCATGTGCAAGGTTGTTGTGTTATGGTGGTTAGCCATTATAAGATTTGTGTTGATACGTTGATTCAATTGGTATTAAAGTAGATCGTTTTTAAAAAAAATTACGTCGTCACCTATACATCCTTATTTTTGTCTGATGATGTCTGTTTGGAAGAGGATTCACATAGTTGCCAGAGGATGGTTCACGCAGTCGGACCAGAGTTG